TGGGCCAGGCACAGGGTAAAGGCAAGCAAATGGTTCTGCTTGTGCCTTTTAACTCTTGAGTACTTAGGGAAGCAGCAACAAAGGAGTTGCTTCTCTCTAGGCCCCAGAGGCTCCTCACATGTTGGGGCTTGAGGTGGGACCTGACACCTCCACTCCAGTAGTGCTTTGTCTCTGTGTTCAGGGTGTTGAGTGGGCATGTGTGATGACAGTATGGATTAGCTCACAATGCTTGCTGAGCACCTACTGCATGCATAGCCTGGAACACGATGGATATGGCAATGAATAAAAGAGATGGCATACCTGCCTTCATGGGGTTTGCATTCTAGTGAGGGGAGAAGAACAAGAAAGAAGTAAACAAAGAGACCTGTAATAACCTGTCAGGTGGTTGATAGCTGCTAGAAGAAAAATTAAAGCAAGGTTAAGGAATAGAAGGAAATGGAGGAAAGGGAGATGAAAGGACAGAAGGAGACACAGGAAGCGCAACTGTTGCTGGTTTAACCAAGCCAAAGTACATATGCCTGATGGAAATATTACCAAGTAGTAAGAATAAAGAAGAATGAGGAAACTCTATATGCTTTGCTATGGAGTAACCTCCAGGAGATACTGTGAAAAGGGCAGGGTAGAGAACAGTATGTATGGAAAGTTATGTTTAGTAGGAAAAAAAGGGGTGGAAGAAACATATACACTGCCCACTTGCCAGTACAATTCAGAATCCTTGGAAGATTTCTAGAGTGGTGGTGGTGGGCGGGCTGGCCTAAGTAAATTTAGTATATGCTATGAGTCAGACATGGCAGGATACATACTAGGGTGCAGGCCAGGTAGGGTGGAGGGGTGGAAGGTAGATGGGGATAGAGGAAGAAGCTAGAGAAAAAGGAAAAAAAGACTCAGCTTAAGAAAACTGAGGCTCAGGGCCAGCCCGTGGCTCACTTGGGAGAGTGTGGTGCTGACAACACCAAGTCAAGGGTTGAGATCCCCTTACCGGTCATCTTTAAAAAAAAAAAAGAAAAAGGAAACTGAGGCTCATAGTGAAAGACTTGCTTATGGTCATGTAATAGGTATTGGCAAAACTTTTCTCAAATTAAGCCTTATCACACTGATGTGAGGAAGTACCTCCTAAATGCTAATTAAAGGTTGCAGGTTATATGTTTATTGTCAAGTGCTTTTCATACATAATATCTTTTTTCCTCACGACCTTTTTTTTTTTGTCTTTTTCGTGACCGGTAAGGGAATCGCAACCCTTGGCTTGGTGTCATCCGCACCGTGCTCAGCCAGTGAGCACACCGGCCATTCCCATATAGGATCCGAACCCGCGGTGGGAGCGTTGCTGCGCTCCCAGCGCCGCACTCTCCCGAGTGCGCCCCGGGGATGGCCCACCTCACGACCATTCTTTGAGGGGTATTATGACGATGCAATTTTTCAGATAAGGAAAATGAGGCCCACAGAAGAAAAATCCCTTGGTGTTCCCTCTGGCCTAAATATGAAGAACCTCGCTTGCTCCTTCATTTTTGCTCAGGTCTATTTACTGTTACCTCTTCAGATAGGGCCTCTCTGATTATCCCAGCTGAGACAGTAACCCCTTCCCAGTACTCCACGCTCTTTCCTGGTTCTATTTATTTTTTTTGGCGGCTGGCCGGTAGGTAACAGGGATAGACCTCTGCACCTTGGTGTTATCAACACCATGCTCTAACCAACTGAGCTAACCAGCTAGCCCTTATTTTTCTTCATAGAACTCATCATCACTTATATTTATGTGCTTGCTGTTGGCTTCCCTACGGACAGCATAAGTTCAGTGAATAAAGGAACCATATTTGTTTTAGTCACTGCTGTGTCTCCAGAGCCTAGAACAAGTCCCTGACATGGGTAGACACTCATGTAATGACTGCAAAAGCTGATTCAGTAACCTGTGTGCTAGATGTTGTACTAAGCACTTCACACGTATTAAGTCACTAAATCTTTACAATCACCATGATTACTGCCACTATACGGAGAAGATAAAGTCATGCTGAAGATCACCTGGCTGCTAAAAGGCAGAGCTGAGATGCAAACCCAGGTGGGCTGGCTCCCAAGTACATGTCCATAACCACTGTAGTGTACAACTGGAGAAGCAATGAGATACAGTCGCACCCCAGCCTTCTGAGAAACCTTGTCTTCAGGCTCCTCAGACTGGAGCTGGGGCTGCTTCTCAGGACCTGGACAGAACACCTCCCAGGACCCAGGCGCTCACCTGTCAAAGGCCTTCACGCGGCCCAGAAGTTTCTTGTTGTTTCGGCAGTTGATGAGCACTTGGGTGTTGTTCTTGACTGACTGCGTAAGCACAGAGAGTGGACCTGTGTTAAATTCTTCCTCCTCCCGCTTCTGCAGCTCCTCTGGGGTCATCTCACTCTTGGGCTTGTTGAGGAGGCTCCTGAATAGGCAAATATGGAACCCACATGTGAGAAGAGCTGGAGCTGGGAGCATGGGTGGTCATGGCCTTGCCCTCAGTGTCTCCCCAACCTTGCCCCAACTCATTTTCTTGCTCAGTCTTCTCTCTTGGTATCACACCACCTGGATGCCTGCTAGACACTTCCAACTTTGCATGTCCCAGGTTGAGCTCCACATCACCCAACCTACTCCATCCACAGCGTTCCCCATCCTTCTGGATCTCTGGGCAAAAACCCTGATGTCAACTTGACTCCTCTCTTTCTCTCACAAACTACATCAAATCTGTCAGCAAAATATATCATCTGCCTCTAAAATATATCCAGAATCTGGCCATTTCTTACCATGGTTTAAATCTCTATCATTTCTCTCCTGGAGTCTTAATGGTCTCCCTGCCTCCACACATGTTCCCTGATAGACTGGTCTCCACAGAGCAGTAGGAGGGGTTATGCTAAAACCTAAATCATACCAAGTCACTCTCCAAAACCCTCCCATCTCAGTGTAAAGAGGAAAACCCAAAGTTTTTGCAAAGCCCTACATGTGCCCCCTCTTTCACTCTGCTCCAGCCACAGTGGCCTCCTGAGTGGTCCTTGAAAATGAGTCAAACTTTCATCTTAGGGTCTCTGCATTTGCCCCCTCTGCCTGGAACCTGCAGATATCTGTGTGGTTTACTCCCTCACTTTCTTCAGGTCTTTGCTCAAGTGTTGCCTTCTCAAAGTGTCCTTTTGTGCTAGTTATTAAGTTACTGACATTCCCCATTATTTTTACCCTACTCGACTGTTCCTTTACTAACAGCCCTGATCACCTACCTAACACACCACATACGTTGCTTGTTTATTATCTATTTATTGCCTGCCACCCCTTCCCCCCATAAGCTGTAGCAGGGTTTTTTTTCTTGGGGAGGGGGAGGTTTTATTCATTAATATATCCCATGTGTTTAAAGCAATGCCTGATACATGGGCACTCAATACAATATTTGCTGAATGAATGAATACGCAAAATCATTCCAGTGACGCGGTATCCATAAAAGTCGCAAATTATGTCTTAAAGCCACCCGTCTCCAGAGTCCCTTACCTCAAAATCGTTATTCCTAACACTCTGCACTCTCCCTCCCCAGGTTTCTTTTATTCGTAAAATTTCTTCCCCTGAAAATTCATTTCGACAAGACTAATTAGATGGGAAAGCTCCCAGCCCGTTATCTGATAAAGCTGTCCCCTCTCCCGAACTCATGAGTCGTCAAAGGCCTCAGGAAAAAAGTACTCCAATTTATCCCTAAACTCTGGGCCTCCGCCCCGGATTTGCTCACCCCCTTCCACTGTAAATCGGTTAAATTTACACCCTTAACCTCACTCCCGCTGCCGAAGCCTAGCCGGGCCTCACATGGTGGCTCCGCGTCCAGATCACTCGCGTCTCCTCCGCGTTGCTTCTGCCTCTGCGGAGAGAGGGATAAGCGGGGCTTCCGCTTCCTGCAACCCACTTCCGCGGACGCCTGCGCAAACCCGACTGGAGGGCGGGGGCGTGGCCTGTTGCCATAGTGATCCCCGTCCGCCCTGCGTAGTGGTGGGGTAAAACCCTCGAGTAGTGTGGTTCCAAGCCATTCGGGATCGTACGGGGCAGATGTTCACGACCATGGGGAGAAAAAGAAAGGGGATCCGACTCAAAGCATTTCTTTGTAAAACGGTATAGGTCGAAGGAGGGAAACGACACACCATTTCCAAATGCCCGCCGACCCTGTCTTCGGGGGCGCGGCCTCCGCGAAGCCAATCCGCTCCTCGCTTCAGGGATGGGCACTGCCCCCTTTCCTTCAGGGCCGGTTCATTGACGTGTCTATTGATCTATCAGACCCCACACAACCAATCCCTTGCCTACATTCGGGAGGGGCGTGGACCTGCGCCCGGACGTCGAATGTTTTCCACGATCAAACGCTGCTCATTGGCTTTCCTCTTCCGCTGAGGTGGAACCTACCCCTTTCGCGCTCCCTTTTGGGCTGTGCAACTCTCGGGGGAACCAACCCTAATACCCCAAGGAGGCAGGGAGGCGTGTCCTCAGGACTAGCATTCCCATTGGTTTCACTGTTCGCTGATGGGTAGGGTGGTGCAGCCGCTCTTGCTGCTCATTGGTCTTGTGATTCCGTGGGGTGGAACTTGGCTGAGCCTAAGTTCAATCCACGGTCCGGGATCGGTTTCAGGCAAAGCTGCCATGCGTTCCGGGGGCCGCGGGCGGCCCCGGCTACGGCTCGGGGAACGTGGCCTCGCGGAGCCAACCTCACCATCCAAGCGCCGCCTGCTACGGCGGGTGCAGCTGTTGCCCCTGCTGCTGCTGACGCTGGCCGTGGGCTCGGCGTTCTACATCATTTGGAGCGGCTGGCACCGCAGGACGGAGAAGCTGCCGCCGGGCCAGGAGCTGCGGGTGAGGCCGGAGGGGGCGGGGCGGGCACCTCGAGGGACTTCATTCCCTTCCTTCTCTTCCCCAGAGTCTCGGGTTGACGTGGCTTTATCGTATGGCCCTAGCGACAGGTACCACCGTCTCCGTCATTTGAGCGCACGCCCCTTACCCACGGAATAAGGCTTTGGGCTTGTTCTGTAACAGTAGCTCGGCTTTCAGAAGAAGGGTCTAGAGTACTAAGACTGGGAATTCCGGGTTCTACGCCTCAAGTCAACTATTTGGAAGAGTCCCTTACTCTCTCTGGACCTAGATTTCCCCATCAGGACTGGGGTAGGATGGACCGGATGGGCTTGGAGGGAGTTTTCCTGAATCTAGGATTTATCTTCCAAGTCTCTGATGCTGTAGACCGCTAATTACGAAGAGGAACCGGTACTCTGGGAGCGACAGCGCCCGGGGTAGGGTCGGTATAAAGGTTGCTCCCATTCTTTTCCCTCTCCCACCTCCCTCTCAAGGCCCCGTTGATCGGAAGCCTACCCGAAGCCCGGCTGCGGAGAGTAGTGGGGCAACTGGACCCGCAGCGTCTCTGGGGCACTTTTTTGCGCCCCCTGCTGGTTGTGAGAACCCCAGGCAGCCCCGGCAATATCCAAGTCAGAAAGGTAAGGGGTCCCACCTCCAATCCCTGACGCTCCAGCCCGCCAAAGAATGGGAATGGGCGCCCTGTCCAAGATCCCAAAGCAGCTGAAAGGCAGAACTGGGGCTCTAACGGAGTTAATCCGACTCTACATTCCCCACACTGGTAACCAACCACCAGGCTGTACCGCCCCCAACAAAAGCTTACTATGTGCTAGGCACAAACAACAAACAGCCCTGTGAGGTGGGTACCAATATTATCTTCATTATGCAGATGGGGAAACTGAGACCCACAAAGCTTATACACTTTGCCCAAATCCCACAGCTAATAAATGGTAGAGCTGGAGTTTCAACCCAAGCAGGTTGGCTCCAGAGCTTGTGCTGTTACATCTCTATATTGCCTCCCAGGAAATATCAAGAATCCTTTCAATACTACCTGCGTTTCAATCCCGCCTCACCCACTTAGAGTGTGTGACCTTGGACTAGTTTCTTAACCTCTCTGGGCCTGTTTTCTCATCTGCAAAATTCCCTGGCAGTCCCTATTGCATAGGGTTCCTAGAACAGGGCTTGGCATATCGTGAGAACTATTTAAGAGTAAGCTGTGATTAGTCTTGTTGGCATCAAGAGGCGGGGTCACCCCAATGTCTGGCACCCAGTAGGTACTCAGCAGAACTTTTAGAGAATGACTTAAACCAGAGTTTGACTTGCGAGTCAGCCCTACTACTCTGCATGGCTCAGGTCACATGGCCCTTCTCCCTACCTCCTCCCCAGTCCCCGTCCACCCTCCCACCTTTCTCTTGCCACTAGTTCCTGGAGGCCACGCTACGGGCACTGACAGCAGGCTGGCATGTGGAGCTGGATCCCTTCATGGCCTCAACGCCTCTGGGGCCACTGGACTTTGGCAACGTGGTGGCCACGCTGGACCCAGAGGCGGGCCGTCATCTCACCCTCGCCTGCCATTATGACTCAAAGCTCTTCCCACCTGGGTCGGCCCCCTTTGTGGGGGCTACAGATTCAGCTGTGCCCTGTGCCCTGCTACTGGAGCTGGCCCAGGCCCTCGATCTGGAGCTGAGCAGAGCCAAAGAGCAGGTGAGGAACAGGGGTAGGGTGAGGAGCAGTAGGCTACCTCTACCCTAGTCCAAGCCACCATCCTCCCTTGCCTGGGCATTTATCATCCTTCTCATCTTCCTCCACACACAGAGCCACAGGGATCTTTTTACCTCCTGAATGTCAGATCCTGTCCTTACTCTGCCCAAAACCCACCCATGCTCCCACCTCATTACAGGCATAAGCCAGAGTCTTTATATTGGTCCATGAGGTGTGCCCTGTTACCTCTCTAGTGTCACCTCCAGTTCCGCAGCCCTTGCTCACTCTCCTCTGGCCAACTCTTCTGTGTTCCTCAAGCCCGCAGGGTTCACTCAGGGCATTTGCGCTTGCTGTTTGCTCTGCATAGAATGTGCTTTTCTCAGATATCTTCCTTGTCGACTCCCACCCTTCATTCAGGTGTCCAGTCTAATATCACCTCTTCAAAGAACTCTTCCTAATGGCAGACAGTTAGCTCAGTTGGTTGGAGCGTGGTGTTATAACACCAAGGTCAAGGGTTTGGATCCCCACACCAGGCCAGTGAACAAAAATAAAAAAAATTATAACAAAGAGGTCTTCCCAAGCACCCTAAAATAGCTTCCTATTACTATCACATGCTTTATGGTGCTTTCTGTTGATTTGTTTGCCTGTCTCCCTACCTAGAATAAGTTCCATGAAGGCGGAAACTTACCTTCTTTTGTTGCCTTCAATATCCCCTGAGCTCAGAATATTGCCTGTCAAAATGTAGGATGTTAATAAAAATTTGTGGAATGATCGAATGAAAACACAACTTTCGTTACGCTCCTCACCTGCTCAAATCCCTTCCATGGCTCCCCAGTGCCCCTATCACAAAGCCCAAACTCCTTGGACTTTACTAACCCCTCTGGTCTTCTCTCAAACCTCTCTGGCCTCTTCACTGGCCCCAGCCTTGGTCCATGTTGTTCCCTTGGTCAGGAACACTCTTCCCTCTGGTCCATTTTTGCCAGGCCAGCTCCCATCCTCCCTCAGTGCAAACATCCCTTCCCAATAGACCCAGTGCCCTCCCCAGACCAGGTCATTCCCCAACCCCCTTCTCTCTATGCTCTCTCAGGACCCTGTAGTTCTTGGAAGTATTTGTTCCAACTGCATTTCACTGTTTGTATATTCATTCGTGGGTCTGTCTCTTTTGCCAAAATGAGCTTGGGGAATAACAAGATGAATCCTTATTTAGTTATTATATGCCAGACTAAGACCTGCACCCTATGCATAGAACTGTTACTAATCCCATTTATAGATGAGGAAACTGATGTTTTGAGAAGTTAGTAACTTAACTGTGTCTGTTTGGCTATAAAGCAGCTGAGTCCAGATTTGTGCCCAGGCAGTTTGGCTCAGAGACTGTGCTATTGGCCATCACATTCTGAATGAGGACACCTAGTTTGTTCCATTCAGCTGTGCAAGCAGGCAGGAAATGTGGGTGGTTTGAGGCCCAGGACTGGCCCTGAGCTGGCCCTGGCCACCTGTTCCCACAGGCAGCCCCGGTGACCCTGCAGCTGCTCTTCTTGGACGGTGAAGAGGCATTGAAGGAATGGGGACCCAAGGACTCCCTTTATGGCTCCCGTCACCTGGCCCAGCTCATGGAGTCTATACCCCACAGTCCTGGCCCCACCAGGATCCAGGCTATTGTAAGACCAGGGTCCCACTGGGTTCTGGTGAGGGAGGGAGAAGTTGAAGCAGGGTTGGCAGAATCCCACTCAGTTCCATTCAGTCCTGGTTTCTCTTGCTAGGAGCTCTTTATGCTTCTTGATCTCCTGGGAGCCCCCAATCCAACCTTCTACAGTCACTTCCCCCGCACGGTCCGCTGGTTCCATCGGCTGAGGAGCATTGGTAAGGGTGAAGATGGAGGTGGGCACCAGCCTGGGATGCAGGAAAGAGGGCCGGGGCAGGCCAGGCACCTGTCCTCTAAGGGCTCATCCAGCCTTCCTCCACTTCCCTTAGATGCCACCGCAGTCAAGTGTAGTGATTATAAAACAGGGGCTCTGAGGTGAGACAGCCCTGGTTTTGAATCCTTCCTCTGCCTCATACCAGCTGTGAAAATGGGCAAATGGCTTCATCTCTTTGAGCCTCAATTTCCTAGCTATAAAATGGGCATGATAGTAATGATAATAGGGGTATCTACCTCCTAGACTCAGAGGAATGAAATGAGACCAGGAACACAGTAAGCCCACAGTTTGGAGTAACTGTCATTCATTCTTGTTGGGATGACTAGTGCTTTATCTCCAAGGTCCCTCCTTTTACTGATTTGTGAAGAGAGGACCTTTGACTGCTGAGGATTAACTCTTACTCTCTAATCCCCACCACCTCCAGAGAAGCGTCTGCACCATTTGAACCTGCTGCAGTCTCATCCCCAGGAAGTGATGTACTTCCAACCTGGAGAGCCACCTGGCTCTGTGGAAGATGACCACATCCCCTTCCTCCACAGAGGTACTTGTTGCAGGGAGGGATAGGAAGTGGGGGTCCAAGGAATCGACAAATTGGACCTGGCCATGGCCCTTCCCAGGGCTGGGGATTGGTGGCAAGTTGCTGGACCTGTTTGTGCCTCAATTTCCTCATCTGGGAAATGGGGATAATAGGAAGAGGGTTAGGGTTAGGGTTCAGAGTTCTTAAAGTGCCAGAACAGAGTATCTTCTGTGGGGGAGGGGGGCAAGGCAAGGTTACCCAGAGCCCAAGGCTGGGTTTTGGCCTGTGGTGGGCCATAGCAGGACTGATGGAGTCTCCTCTCTCACCTTCAGGCGTCCCAGTGCTCCATCTCATCTCCACGCCCTTCCCCACTGTCTGGCACACGCCCGCTGACACTGAGGCCAATCTTCACCCACCCACGGTACACAACCTGAGCCGCATCCTTGCAGTGTTCGTGGCTGAATACCTGGGGCTCTAGCCTGCCGGCTAATGCCCAAGAGGGGACCCTACTCTGAGCAAGACGTGCCCGGCAGGGGATATGTCAAGTGCACCTGGAGCTGGTGGATCTCAGGCCAGGCCCACTGTGGGTGTGCTTGCTTGTCCTTTTTTATACCTTTGGCTCCTACTTGTGCTCCAGTTGGAAGACCCCCTTTCCTTTGATTATCTTCAGGGACACAGAAGAGACCTTCATGGGGATGACAGCCAAAGGAATAAGAGCTGGGCCCCTGCCCTGAGGTAAATACTTGGTCTGAAAGTTTGCAGGGACCAAATGCTATTCTTTTAGTCAGCCAACCATGGACTGGCATCCGGACCAGCAAGCAACACCACCCAACCAAATGAATTCTCCATGGCTTATGTTTTTTTTGTTAGTTCGTTCTCCAGAATGTCAGCCTTGCTACTGCACCAATCCAAACCTAACTCCCACCTGGGACCCACAGAGGATGTTCTCATAAATAGGAAAAGAGGAGATGGAAACCAATACTTAGGAACTCCAGATTCTGCAAGACCCAATGGGCAATAAACTGGTATTTATGCAAAATATATTCTGCAGAAATAGTGTAAATAGGTGTTGCAAGGAAAAGGGGATCCAAGATCAAAGAAACGGGGTAAGACAACATTAAATTTCTTCAGTACACGGTGTAAATTTTCAAGAGTAAGACTGAGAATGCAATGGTTCCCAAAGTATTTCACCATGGAACCCCTTTATTGGAAAGCACCTCACAAAAATAGGGTACCTCAGAAGATCCTTTGGGAAACACTGGGTTTGGACCATTTAAGAACATTTATGGTAGGAATGGGTAAGACAGACCTAGATTCAAAGTAGTTATACCAAACCATCTTTCCTTTTCAGCTGTGTGTACAGCAGTATGAGATGTGAGGAAGTACTTCCCAACACAACCTCATTTTTAGACTCAGCTGGAGGGCTTAATAAAAAAATGCAGACTCCCACGTTTCACCCCGGCCCTACTGAACCAGAACTCCGGGAAGGGGCTGGGGCTCTGTAACAAACACCTGAGGGAGTGTCATGATGAACAGAGTTTGGGACGTGCTGTACTTAGGATATAGTTTGGTGGATATAAAGCTGCTTAGCAAACCTATTCAAAAGAAAACCATAAGAGGGAGGGAGCCTAGAATAAGAGTCCTGGGCTCTGTGCCTGCTGGTTTTGTGACTTTGATGGAGACTTGGTAGGTGGCAGAAATGCCAGGCCAAGATAGAGGACTATTAAATGTTGAAGGTGAGCATTGGCATTCCAAGCCAACTCTAGGCTGCAGAAGACTCAATAGAACTCCAGGACTGAAACTGAAGATATCAATGAGAGAAGAGAAACAGAAGGTCCTCAATTCAGGTGCCTCCACAGTTGCTATTTAGCGGGCACCTAGTATGTGCCAGGCACCATAAGCACTTTACATATGTCAACTCATTTAGTTTCCCTGCAAAGGTACAATTTCGGTTCTCATCTTGCAGGTGGGGTGGCTGAGATTGAGAATCGTGAACCAGTTGTTTGCAGAGTCCAGATTCTCACCCAGGTCTGTGCTCCCAATCCCCATGTCTTACCTCCTTTTCAGAAGTCACCTGTGCTGGATGAATAGTTTGTTGACAAAAAGGAACCCAAAGTTTCTAATTGGCTTTATGCACATTTTTGGCTTGAATTCAGGGTAAGAATTATTAGCCCCATTTTCAGATGAGGCTGCTGATACTTGGCAAGGTGATGTTTCCCCAGGTCCCATAGCCAGCAGGTCCTGTGGCTCTCATCCAAACCTGGGCTCCTCCCGCTTCACCCTATGAAAGGTCCATCAGTGTTATTTCTTTCTTTCTTTTTGGGGTGGTGGGGGGGAGCAGCTGGCCAATACGGGGATCTGAACTCTTCACCTCAGCATAACACCACCACACTCTAACCAAAGCTAACCAGCTAGTGTTCATCGGTGTTTTTCTGTTTTCTAAGATAATTGGTAAGGGGATCTTAACTCTTGACTTGGTGTCATCAGCACCACGCTTTCCCAAGTTAGCCACAGGCCAGCCCTATCAGTGTATTTTATAAATACAAACTATGTCTCACATATTTTTTGAGGAACTGCAAAGTATTCCCATTGTTCAGATTAAGAAACTGAGCTTCAGATAAATCAATTGCCCAAGATCACATAGCTGGGAACCTTGACTGCAATGTATCTAGGGGTACATTTCTTTTTATTTATCTAGCTTATAACTCATTGGACTTAATTGGTATCTTCTATCAGTTTGGAATTCTCAACTATCATGTCTTTAAACATTGTCTGCACCATTCTCTTGATTCTGGAATACCAACGAAATATGTTATTGGTAACTCGCCAGTTAGGTCAGTTGGTTAAAGCACAGTGCTGATGACGCCAAGGTCTGGGGTTTGATCTGTGTACCAGCTGGCTGCCCCTGCACCCCTACCAAAAGAAATGTTAGACCTCAATATCCTCCATAACCCTTCTTTCATATTTGTTTTTGTTTGTTTGCTTTTTGTCTCTGCATTTTTTTTTTCACCCAGCTTTATATTTTTTGGCTGCTGGCTGGTATAGGGATCCGAACCGTTGACCTGAGTGTTATTAGTTCAGTAAATCTTTCTTCAGCTGTCTCTAATTTGCTGTTTATCCCAGCCATTGAGTTTTTACTTTTGGTTACTGTATTTTTCATTTTTAAAAGTAAAGTCGGTGGGTTTTTTCCATTCCTATCTGCCTGGCCATTTTTTTTTTTTTTTAGTTTTGGGTTCCTGCTAATAATTCCAAGCTCTTTTTAAAAAATTTTTTAACAGTTTAAAATAAATGTTGTATTATAATGTGACTGACAGTTTCATCTGAAGCCTTTGCAGGTCCGTTTTTGTTCTGTTGTTTCTGCTGTTTCTTGCTCTTCTGCTTTATTTCCATGTATGTTTGGTTGTGTACTACTCACTGCCTGAAAAATTATTTGTGGGGATTCTAGATGACAGTTTCTTCCACCAGATTTGTGTTTCTTTCTGCCAGACATCTCAGCTAGAATAGCCTGGATCAGATGGGTGATGTGAACCTGGCTACAAACCTGTTCCAAGGGTGTCTGTGACCATAAATTCTCAGTTTTTCTTTTTCCTTTGGTCCTGTGCTCCTCATAATGTTCTAGATATTTCTGCAGTCTTCTAGATCATCCTTACCGGAGTTTGTGGTTCTCTGGGATCCCAGGTCCTGTTAGGTTTCCTACCTTGGGCAGGCTTTGGCCTTGACTTCTGCCTGCTTATCCCAATAAGGCTGCCAAATAGGAAACCCAAGTTTGTCCACATCAACAATTACCCTCAAAGCAAAAGTGGCTTCAGGACCTATGTACCTTTCCCTTAAATGTTTGACTGTATTTTATTGGCTACCTGATGCTTTTTTCCCCCCTTTTGGTGGCTGGCCAGTACAGGGATTCGAACCTGCGATCTTGGTGTTATAAGGCTGTACTCTAACCAACTGAGCTAACTAGCCAGTTACTATCTGATACTTTTAAGGAGATTTTTTTTTTTTTTTAAATTTCAGTTGCTTTCAGCAGGAGGGTCCAAATAATCCAACCACCCTCCACAAAACCAAGCCACGATTCAAACCCAGGTCTCTTTGACTCTAAAATCTAAGAGTTAAGGTCAATGGTTTGGATGCCCATTCTAGCAAGCCATGAAAAAAAAAAAATCAAAGTGTTGAATAACTACTATGATATATCCTAGTCTCTCTGGAAATTCTGATTCCCTGATAAGGATATCAGAGACTGCTAGCTGCCTCTCAATATCCATTTTTCTCTTTTATTTTATACCCAAATTTAAAAGATGTCTTAATTTCCTCTTTTCATTTAGTAAAATAATTAAATTCATATTTAAAACTTTAATTACAGGGATCTTTAGTAGAGTTTTTTGTTTGGCGTACTGTACCCAGCTAAAAGACTGTATTTCCTAGACTCCCTGGCAGCCCTATCGTCTGGCTAAGTTCTGACCAGTCAGATCTATATAGAAGTATAGTACTTCTGGGAGGAAGGGGGCTTCCCTTCCTGCAAAACGGTGCTGGTAGGAATTGTAGCTGTCATCTTGGACTATGAGGACGAGGACCATAGCCAAAGACTGATAGAACAGTGAGCTAGAAGGAGCCTGGGCTCTTGATCACTTGAGGGCCACCATACTTGCACAACATGGGATTTTTTTTTTTTTTTCCTTTTTGTCTTTATTTTGTGTCTGGCAACGGATCGCAACCCTCAGTGTCGCGCCCGTACCGGACTGGGACCGGCAACGGGATCGCAAACCTCGGTGCTGCACCCGCACCTCACTCAGCCAGTGAGCGGGAACCGGTCTGTATGTGGGATCCAAACCCTCGGCGGGAGCGCCGCCGCGCTCCCAAGCGGCGCACTGTAGCAGTGCGCCACCGGGCCGGCCCACAACATGGGATTTTTAAAGAAATTTAAAAAACAATCTTGTTCAAGCTACTGCTATTTGGTGATTTTCAAATCCAAACTGACACAGATGAGAAGAGCCGAAAATAATCTTAGGCTAAGGGACTTGGCTAAGGACCCCTTCTCTACTTCTTCCATCCCACCATGCACAGGCCCTTATTTCCCTTCTCTCCCCAACCCCTCTCCCTTAACAACACACAAATGAGTCTGGGCCCAGCCTTATAAATATTGATTTTATGGAAACGACCAATTCATAGTTGGTCAGATGCCACACGCTAGAAGCTTCCAGAACCACCACAATGATGAATAAACAAACAAAAAAAAAAGCCAAACAGAACAAACAAAAATACCCCAGACCAAACTGCCTGAAAAATCAAGGTCTCAGTTGACCAAAGGATTCTAAAGAAACACACGTGGCTGGGGGTGAAGAGACCCCAACACCTGAACAAGTACCCAGAGTGGAAGGAAAAACCCAGAAATTCAAACCCACAGTCCCTGCCCACTGGCCCCTCACGCTGTCAAGAGCGAGGCAAGGGCTTCACAGCTTTATTGGAGGGAGGAGGGATAATGGCAATAGCTTAAATAATGGGAGGAGGAGGTTTTTATGCTTCAACTTCTTTTTCTTCTCTTCACCTATAGGGGAAGGGGAAAGACCTGTACCTTGAGCTTAAGGAAAAAGCAGTGATTTTTATTTCTTTAATGGGGGAAAACATCTAGAAATGGCAGGCTGCCATGAAAAAAGTGCCAAATTCATGATCTGATGGCCCCCAGTTCCTAAAGAGGAGGTGAGCCCTGGTGTGGTAGGATAGGAGAAGTATCAACTTTGGGTGCCACAGCCTCTTGGAAGAAAACAGCTCCAGAGAGCAAGAATTAGAAAAGGGAGAGGAAGGGGGCCAGAATAATGAGGGACCCCTTAAGTGGTACCAAAATTAGCTGCCGTCTGCTCCCTGCTAGTGGGTTACTGGGGTGTAGAGAGTGGCAGGGAGGATGTTGGGACTGAATGGAGAAGAAATTGAGATGCTGATAAAAAACACCCTACTTGAGGGTCCTTGGCCCTGGGTCTGAAGAGTAGAAAACCAACAGGGGTAAATCAGAGTGCTTTTTTGGGTCATCCCCCTGAATGCTGCCTCAGTCCTGGCGGGGGATCAATGCTGCCTGGACTGGGGCTATGGGCTGGTGGCCCAGTCCTGGACCTCAGCTCCCAGGGGAGGGGGAGGGGCGGATATGGTGGGCTCGCCCCCCCCTCCCCCGGCTTCACCTTCCCTCCTCCCGGCCAGCCCGGCCCCCACCTGGCCCATTGCAGGGCAGCACCCAGTTGTTATCGTGCAGGCCCAGGCGGCAGCCGGGCGTCTCGCGATCGGCTCGGCGGCAGCACATCCAGTACGAACGTCCATAAGGCAGGTCGTGGTGGTAGGGCTTGGGGTGCCAGCGGCAGAGTGACACATCGCCCTTCTCGTATCTCTTGCGGCACTGCTTGCAAGGGTCATCACGGTAGAGTGGGTCGCGGCTCCATCGTGAGTCTGTGGCCCGCACGCCAAATGCCTCAATGATGCCCTTGAAGTGGTGGCAGGTGCACTTGAGGGCTGCCAGGGCCCGCGTGGGCAGGAAGCTGAATATCTTGACCAGCACATGCTCAGGCAACAGCAGCATGTACTGTCGTGGCTCCAGGAGCCGCTGGATCTTGAAGCGGATTTCCAGGAAGTCGTGCGACACATGCCGGTACAGGCGGCACAGCGAGGTGTCCGCTGTCCCCTCAGCATCGTCTGGGCCTGGCACTGTGGCTGGTGAGTCAGTTGGAGGTGGCTCAGGAGGCCCATCTGGCCCACGGGACTGGAGGAAGAAGAGCTGGCCAGGTGGGGGTGGCTCCTCAGGGCTGACTGTCAGGCACACTGTCTCTTCCTTCACGTTCTTCGTGCCATCCTTGCCGAAGAAGATACATTCATCCACTACGCCCGTCACTACCACATCCACATGGAAGCCTGATGCTCCACAGTCCCGGGCAGGGGGTGGAGGGGGAGCTGGGGGAGTGTCCTCAGGCCTGGAGGGGGCTGGGGTCTCACCTTCGCTGGCTTCATCGGCCCTAGCCAGCAGAAACTCCACATTGCTGGGGAGGGCATCCCGTGAGGGGCTGATGAGCTGGTATAAGTCGCAGGTGATCTTGTCCTTGGCACGGGCCCCTGGCCCTGGGCTGCCAGGGTAGACACAACCAGGCCGACCCCCGCCCCCACTGGGCAAACTGCCATCTGGCACACGTGGCTCCCGGCCATTGGAGATGCGGAAAGCGATGCGCACCTCTCCAGGGCCTGGCCCAGGCCGTTCCTCTTTGCGAAGGCCTTTGGTTGGAGGGTTGTCCCGCTGGGCCTCAAAGTGGGCCACTGCCTCGGCTACACGACTGCAGTCCCCACCACCAGAGCGCCGTTCAGACCCCAGCCCCTTGGCTGGTGTGCCCTGCTCAGCTGACACAAAGACCACAGGTGCTGGGGTAGCGGGACGTGGGTAGCTCTGCAGGGCCAGAGCAGCCCGCTGTTCTACCAGAGCCACCATCTCTGCCACAGAGAGCAGGTCCACGTCCTCACCAGCTGAGGCAGGGCCCTCATCAGCAGCAGGGGGCCCCTCCCGGCCCCCTGGGTCCGGAGGAGCCTTGGTGGACTCAAGACAGCGTCTCCTCCGCTTGGCCTTGGAGCTGTCACTGCCCCAGTGCCCCTTGACCTTCATGGAGCTGGCCCGGCTGCCCCCACCACACTGATGGGCTACAAAGAAGGCCACCTTCTCCTTTGTATTCCCGGGCTTGATAACATACCATGTGTCCAGTAGGACTCGACCCTCATCACCAGCAGCTGCTGTGGAGAGGAGCGGAGCAGGCTGGGTGGTGGGGGCCTCAGTGGCCAAGGCCGGTGGTGTGTTCTCTGAGTGCGCAGGACCATGGTCTGGCTCAGCCCCGCTGCCAGGCTCAGGACAGGCTGATGATTTGAGGGCTGTGGAAGGTGGGCGCGGCTGGTTCTGTGAGTAGGTGCCAAAGGGCCGGGGGCACCACAGCTGGAAGGGCAGGAGGCCACCGCGGTCCATTCTGGGGGATAACGGCAGACAGGCAGGGCTTCACTGCATCTCAGGACCTGAATGGTGGTGGGGGACTCCACATACCACCTGGAGACAGGAAAAGAGGAGGTTGGGGAGCTGGGGAATACCCTTCCCTCCCAGGTCCACCCTGACCTCAACCTCTCCCAAGGGGACAGACCAAATTTGAACACCAAGAATTTGGCTGACTGGTTGGCTCAGGTGGTTAGAGCACGGAGTTACAACACCAAGGTTAAAGTTTTCAAATCCCCATTCCAGCTAGGCACCACCAGCAAAAAAAAAAAAAAGAACTCTATCCCACCTCACTGCTCAGGTGAGCAAACTGGGTTACAGGAGGGATGAGACCTGCTCTTTTAATGCACAGAATGTGCCCCTAGCTGGCAGCTTGCTCCAACTCCACACATCCTACACCACTGTCCAATTGCTTTGCTCACGATCCAGAGGCCTCCTGCTGCCACAACCTTTATTTACTTTATTTTATTTTATTTTTTGGCAGCTGGCTGGGTAGGGGGACCCAAACCCGTGATTCTGGTGTTACAAGGCTGCACTTTAACCAACTGAGCTAACCCGCCAGCCCCTGCTGTAACCTTTAAACTTAAGTGAAAGTACCAGTTGACAGACAAGCTCTTCCTTTTTCTACTTGCTTCCTCAGTATCCAGTTTCTGAAAAGACAGGAATTCCCAGCTCTGCCCACAGCTATAGCCGCTTGAGCCCACAGAGGGAGGAATGAGGTGTGCTGGGCGGGGAAGGAAAACCTGAGGTCAGAGCTAGACAGGCCCTTAAGAAATCAGCTCTTCACTTTTTTTCAGGTTGTGGGGTTCTTAAATCTCTTAAAGCTGTATATTCTCACCTAGAAAAATGCACACCCTTGCAAAGACTGTGCAGGTAATTCCCTGAAGCACAGCCAGACTCCTGGGATAAGAAGGCTTGTTCTAGTCTAGTTCTTTCCTCAAGTTGCACACAGGTAAACTGGGGCTCAGAGTGGGGAAGGGTTTTATAGCTAAGATCACAGTGGGTCCAGAGCAAAACCAGGCTCTCAAACTTGGTTTCTGGACTCTTCAATTCAGAAATCTCCTATTAATGATTGTTTTATTTGACGACTTTCTGTGCATGACCTAATCTGGAGGCAATTTTGGTAATAAATCCAATATGACCACTTTCCACTGAACTTTCTACTTACCAATAAGTAGCATATGCCTCAGTCTCATTCTTTCCCTGGCCCATCTCCCTCCAGACACATTGAAACCAAAATAACCTTCCAAACTTCAGACTTTCCACATGCCTACAGACCAGAGAAGACCCACAGGCCAAATCCAGCTTGTTGCCTGCCTTTGTAAATAAAGTTTATTGAAACATGCTCATTTGTTTATGGTTGCTTTCATACTATAACAGCAGAGTTGTAACAGTTGCAACAAAGACCATATGACCTGCAAAGCCTAAAATATTCATTATCTGGCCCTGTATAGAAAAATTTTGCTGACTCTTGCAGTACAGACTACCCCTTTAACTTCAGGTAATTCCACAGACACCCCATTCACTTTATGGTCCTGTAGACACCATTCAAAATTCAGACAGCCTCCAAACATTCACAGACACTGGTAACAAAAAGAGTTTCAATCTTAAGAATCCTTATCCTACCCCTATAATGCCTAATCCCACCTACCTCTCAAATACTTACAGCCCCTGCTGAAATCCCAGTTCATTGCTAAAAAAAATCACCACACAGCCCCCAATACCTATAGATGGCTAAATTTATCAACTACCAATTCAGATTTATCTAAATTCTCAGGGATAAAAGCTAACACAGCAAACGCCATTCTCTATAGATGCATAACTTAGCTATGCCCTAAAATCCCCAATCAGTTCCCACCCTTATCTCCAGAATCTCCATGCCCTCCCCCAAATATCCAGGCCCTTTCAAACCCTATTTTAAACCCCCAAACCTAAAAATATTCCCTCCAGCACAGAAGGGCCCAATCTCAATGAACTTCTCACAGATCCTAACACACACAGCAGTTTCCCAACCTTACAGATATCTCAAACAATAGGTCTCCCGGAATTCTACACTAACCCCCAACCCCCACACGTTATCCCCTAATTCCACTGAAGTTCCCCCAACCGCAAAAGAACTTACTAAAACACAAAAGCTCCCTGACACTTAAAACTAATCCCAACCACATAAATATTTCTCAAAGCCAAAAGAACCCCCAAAGAAACCCGACAAATGTTACAATAGCAGACATGTGCTCATTGAATGCTCACTGTGAGTTTACTAAGTGCGGTTCTAACAATTCTTGCTAATTCTCCCCCGTCTTTAGGAAGCAGATAGTGTTATTAGCCCGTTTCCAGATAAGGCACGGAAAGGTTAAATCCCCTGTCGGGGCTCCGACAGGTAGGAAGACAAGACAGATGCAAGCCCAAGCATTCTGGCTCCAGAACTGGTATACTCTCCAGGAGCGGCCCAAATCTATACCCACGGAACACCCCAAGCCACAAAGGAGACCCCTAAAACAACCGCACCTTACACTTTAAAAAAGAACCCAAACAGCAAGAAGATCCCTTAAGCTCAAAGGAACACCAAAGTATCCCCAAAACACATGCAAAAACTTTCCCAAGCCCCAAATACTGCTTAAATGCAAAGGGAACCCCCAAATCTTGTAATCGCCACCTAGAAGAATCTTCCAAGACCCTCAAGTGACCCTGGAAATCTAGGCACGCCCCCGAAGCGCCCTCACCCGCAACCCTCCCTCTGCTGCGGCGGGAGCGCACGGCAGCACATACGCATGCGCGCGAAAGGGAAGTGGGTCCATCCCCCTCGCCCTTTCCCTCCGGCCCCCGCGCGGGCAGGCACACGACTAGCTCCCTCCGCCCCTTTGTTGACAAGACGCGCGCGTGACGCCCCCAGCCAATGAGCGGCCGCCGTTCGGAGCCGTGACCATATAAGGAAGGACTTGGCGAAGGAGCCCAACTTCGAAATAGGGAGTAGGCGAGAGGTGACGGGAGGGGGTGGTTGGGTGGAAACAGCCGGATGTTAGGGAGCGTGGAACAATATCCGCCGTCCAGCTAAACGGAGGAACAAGGCCAAGGCAGAGGCCACGACACTCACGGGAGGCTTATTATACGACCTTCCCTCTAAACAGGAGTCCTGATTGAAGTTGAGATTTAAAGGACCAGGCCGGGATTGAGAACCCCAGGACGGAAGCGGGCGGAGATATCCGAGAGTGCCCAGCTTTGACTGGCAACCGTGGGAGCCAAAGTTTCCAGCTCGGGAAACTGGGCACTGAGATCACCTCACCCTGAAAAACAAATGGACAGAACCCTGCGACGGTTCCCATGGCATTCATAAGCCTCTGGGCCTGCCATTCAAGGCTCGGGCCGTGTGCGGACTTGTCCGTTCAGCCTCTCCAACCAGACGCCCTACACCTGACTCACATTTAGTACAGGAAAACAATAAGAGATACCTCAATAATGATTTTTAAGTACTTGTTACTTGTTAACTTAAAATTACATGTACGGCTCGCATTATATATCTATTGAATAGGGCTGGTTTAGATACTTTCGATGCCAGGCCACTTCCAGAAACACCCAAAGGTGGCTCCAGTGCAGGCCCCTGTTCAGGTGTCCCCTGTCCCCCTACAACCCTGCCCAGCCTTGCCTGCTTCTGACCACTTCCACACATGACAACCAGAAGGGTCTTGGTAAAGCATAAACCTCTAAACCTGCCCCTGTCCCTACCCTGCTCAGAACCTGCAATGGCTTCCTTGTGCCCTCTGGGAAAAGCCCAAGTACCTCAACTGTCCAGCCTCATCCCTCCCCACTCCTCCTCCCCACACTTCACACCCCCAGTGGGCCCTGGTGGATACCAAATCTGGCATACAGAGCAGTTAGAATATTCAGGCTCTGTCTGATCTGCAGTAGGAGAACCAAGAGATAAGCAGAGAAGTGACATTACCGTAAAAAACAAAAACAAAAAAACTGACAACAGCAAAAAGTAGGATTAGGAACAAAGATGGTGATAAAACAAGCTGACCCAATACACAAAAATTCTCAACATACATGATCCTAATACTATGGCCACAAAATACGTAAAGCAAAAACAACCATCCCCAGGCTGGCCCGTGGCTCACTCGGGAGAGTGTGGTGCTGATAACACCAAGGCCACGGGTTCGGATCCCATATAGGGATGGCCGGTTTGCTCACTGGCTGAGCGTGGTGCTGACAACACCAAGCCAAGGGTTGAGATCCCCTTACCGGTCATCTTTAAAAAAAAAAAAAAAAAAAAAAAA